ATACATACATACTGCAAGAGAAATGAATACAATAGTCAAATGTAATTGGCTTATTTATTCTTTTTTTTTTTTTTTGTACTGAGGATTGAACCCAGGGGCACTTTACCACTAAGCCACATCCCCAAACCCTTTTTTATTTTGAGATAGGGTCTCACTAAGTTGATGAGGCTCACTTTGAACTCATGATCCTCCTGCCTCGGCCTCCTGAGTCACTGGGAATCGGGCCATGCACCACTGTGCCTGGGGCTTATTTATTCTTTTATTAATCTTTGGACCCATTATTAATAATACTAATAGTTTTAGACCTTTAAAATAAGTTGAAAAATCTATGGCAAGTTCCATTTTTTTCCTCAGGTAGATTCAACTTCAGTTAGTTAAAAGATTCAATTAAAAACAAAAAAAAAGAAATTATCTCCCTGGTCTGTTTCTCCAACATAACTATTAAATTAATGCCATAAAGTAGTAGCAGATTTTAAGTATTTTTTGTGAGCAGATATTTATCCTCATTTCTTTCGGTGTAGGTCCCTTACTCGGAACTAGGCGGCAAAACTCTGGTGATGGCTGTGTATGATTTTGATCGTTTCTCCAAGCATGACATCATTGGAGAATTCAAAGTCCCCATGAACACAGTGGATTTCGGTCACGTAACTGAGGAATGGCGTGATCTGCAAAGTGCTGAGAAGGAAGAGGTAAGAAAATCATTAGCATTTCTGATGTGACAAGCTATAGCTTCATTTGCTGCTCATACAATAACCTACTGTAAGATGCTTTTGACCAAAGGTGATGTGGGCTTCTAAATGTTGACAGCTGGCAAAACAGGGTCAAGGGGTTGTATAACCTGGTTAAAAGTATACAGGTCTTCTGTGTGTTGTTCAAAAGAAAAGGGAGAAATTCATGCACTGGATCTATAACCAACTCCTCTGGACACACACACACACACACACACACACACACACTTCTTTAAAGGGACAGAGAAAAATCATCTTATTATTCTTTGTATTTTTCCACAATGATTTTTCTGGTTTTCTATGTAGGTTATAGAGCTATAAAGAAATAAAATGGCACTTTTTCCTTGATTATTTCTGTATATTACAGACAGTTCATTGTTTCTCCCAAAGATATCAGAGCCTGATGGGTGAAACATCAAATATAATTCACAAAGGCCAATATTAAATCCATTTTTTAAATGACTCACATTTTTATAGTAGTCTTCACATTGTTTTTTCCCCAGCTTTAATAGTTGAGACCAGTATTTTTCTGTGATTTAAAAAGGGAAGCTCAATATCCTTAGTACATTGAAGCGCCATAATAATCAATTCCATTCGATTACGTTCCTCGTGCCTGGCACTAGCATTTTTTCTGTGTGGATGTCTCAGCAAACCACCACCAGAACAGCAAACAACTCTCAGCTTCTCCAAAGCCCTAAACCAACTCCTTTCCAGCCACTTCCCAGAGTCCTGACAATTGACTATAATGCAAAAAGCCTATCATTTAGGACTTATATCTCCCTAAAATCTGGTAAGATATAGTCACATTAGGGCTATCAGAGAAATCAGAGTTGCCCAAGCCTTCTGAGAAAAAACTCAATCAAGCCCTTTACCTGGGAAACTTCTCAGCCTGAGGTTTTCTCTGAGCCATCTCAAGCTGCTAACTTGACACCACTTTCGTGAGGTAAGGTCTCAGAATAGGCTTATTGATTGCTCTGCTGAAATTGGATTTTGTTTGTGCTCTAAAATTATTATTTGGTTACAAAAAAAAGGAAGCAAAATTGCTGAGTAACTTGAGTAATCAAAAGAAAACTTTGCTCTCTTTTAGAAAGAGATACATACATACATATTTCCCAGTAGGTTAGTCAAAATTGACATCCTAAATATTGAAATAGACTTGGCCCTACTTTTCATCCCTCAAAAATAACATAGGAAAAATACTGCCTTTCTAAATTTTATGATTTTTTATAAGTAGTTCTTCCATATGAGTTAGGTAATATTGACATTAAGCTTAACATCTGTATAAAAAGAAATATTCAATCCTTTGAACATGATGTTTCTAAATATTTAACAAAATAGTAATATGTTTCATTGAACTTTCATATTTTATTGAAAGGTTTGACTGTGAATTCCTTGAGTTGGAGATAAAGTGGGACCATAATAAATATTTATTAGCTGATTGGTTTTTAGTTAAGTGGTTGTGGTTGGTTCATTGATTAATTATTAGCATATGACCATGTGGACTTCACAAGGCTATGTCCAGGATATATAGTTATTCTTAAGGGTATATAGTTACTCTTATCACCAGTGATATGGGATTTCAAGATCAAACCCAATGGGTTTTTGAAAAGGTGAAAAAAGTTTTTGCCTGAGTTAAGGGTATATAGATCAGCGAGCAATTCTCCTCTTTCAAAAATCCTTTAAGTATGGGACAGAATTTGACAGGTTTGACTCTAGAATCTGAAAGGTTAGGTAGACACCCCCAAACAATATTATTTTTGTTCTCCCCATCTTATTTGCCCCCTTATTTCTCTCTTTGTCTTCTTTCCCTAAGACTTTTATCATCCAAATTATTTCTAGCTGAGCATAGAGTCACGCACCTGTAATCCCAGCTATTTGGAAGGTTGAGGCAGAAGGATCTCAAGTTCAAGGCCAGCCCCTCAGCAACTTAGAGGGACCCTGTCTCAAAAATTTTTTAAAAAATTAAAGAGGACTGAGGATCTGGCTCAGTGGTAAAGCACTCCTGAGTTCAATCCCTAATACCAAATATATGTGTATAGATATAGATGATACAGATAGATATAGATACAGATTAGGATATATACATGTTCTTGGTGAAAATTCTTATTATGCATTACTATCTTCCTGAATCTGTGCTAAGTGGTTTTATTTTTAAGGGACAAATAATAGGCACTATGTTTTCATGAAATTTGGGGTTGACTCATCATCTTAACTTCAATCTCTATCTTGCTTATTTTCATCTACACAGATTTCTGGGCAAGATCTGTCCTTAAGATCAAACACTTCTGGGGTTTTGTCCTAACTGATCTATTTAGTATCTCTGGGACAAGCCACTTAAGCACTCTAAAATTCAGGATTTTTAATCTAAAAAGTATCCTATCGGAGCTAGGGCTGTGGTTCAGTGGCAGAGCGCTTGCCTAGCATGTGCGAGGCACTGGGTTCGATTCTCAGCACTACATATAAATAAATGAATAAAATAAAGGTCCATCAAAATCTAAAAAAAAAAATTAAGTGAACTACCATCATCTGTCCTTGCTCTTCTGTATAGATTAAATTAGGAGGAATCTGGAATACCTAATACCTGAGTCTGTATATCGTTCAATAAAAGAGAGATTTCCTATTCTCTTTCTGTGACCTACCATGTTTTTTGTGTTCTCTTTCTCCTTTTTGTGTTTTCATTTCCCTAATTGTTCTATTCTTTTCCTTCTATCTGTGTCTGTTTCTTTATTCTTTCCTCAGCACTGTTGCACTTATTGAATGACTCTTGAAATTTACAATAAAAAATAGTAACTCTACTATTGCATTTTTAAACTCTAGAAACATTCTTCTTTGCTATCTTCTCCAGAATAGTAATTTTTGGTTTTCAGTTGAGGGGCTGTTGCCCTTTGTCATGATACAGGAGACCTCATACAACAGATATCTAGCTTGCAAAGTATTCCTGGATGACCAGACCCAGAACAGCACTTTCTCCTTACAAAAGAAATAAGATTCCAAATACATTTCATATCTGAAGAATTACTTATTCTCACTGATATGTGCTCCATCTTTTCATGCTACTGTCCATTAACCATAGAAAATTATAATTGAATGAATAAATTGAAGGCTTAGCTCTCATGATTTTAAAGAAATTGTTTTTCCATTTTACATGAGCAATTTTGTTCACAATTTTAGTTTTTCTAAAATTTTTCTCTCCACAATGCCTTTCATCTAACAGCATTAACTGTTATTTTTAATGTCATCATGAATTGAAAGGATACAAAGAAAGTGAGGAAAAAAGAACTCAAGGAACAATTTTGGAATCTGGAAACAGCACTATTAACCACAGTAGGCTGTTCAGTTAGTCTTGGATTTAAACAGGGTAAAATTTGGTTGCCAGGAAGATGAGAACTATAAAAGCCATGAGTTGATGAAGCAATTGTTTAAGTTAAAGAATTGTGTGTTATTTCAGTGATCCGTTGATGTGCAAGTTGTTTAGAAAGGAATAGGATAGAGCATGGACAGTGTAAGGATCACATTTGGACTTGACTGAGCACGTTTTAAAAAGGAGGAGATAGAGAAGAAACCTCAATAAGCACAGCTCCTGCTGTTAGATTTTCCATGCAGGTGAAGCTTCCAATTGGCTTGTTAATGTGTCTTAAATTAACACAATGAAAGCCATCTTACTGGCTTACATTTACTTGCTTTTGTTTTGTTTTGTTGTTTTTTTGTTTTAATGTTACATGATTGACTACTCCCTCTTGTGACTTCCCCACCTTCTAATAGATGAAGGTGGAATTTGACCATGGACAGCTCAATTATTCTCTTTTGGGTATTTTTGTTGGTGGTGGTGGTTTTGGGGGGTTTTTTTAAGACAGAAATGTGAATCAATTTGTTGTATCAATTTTTTCTTTCTCAGTATAAGACCTCAAAATCATCCTATATAATCAGCATATTCCTTCATTTCCAAAAGATTTTCAATATGTATGTTTTCAAGCTATGTTGACTTTTGGAGATATTTTAAATCATTCAAAATAATTATTCATACACTCACAGGTTAAATCTGAATTATTATAATTTAGAATCATTAAATTATTATCTAGAATTGTTAAACCTAAATTATTATTCTTTAGAATAATAATCCATTCTTAATTTTTTACTTATTTTAAATATTGTCATGACTCAATTTTTTTCTTTTTATAAATTTATGACTACCTTAGAAATTGTCTCAGTTCTGGACCCAGCACCAAGTACATCCTCAAATAATTTAGATCCTTTTTATTTTAGCATTTTGTTTCTTTTTTCCCCCCCTCACGTCCCCATGCCTTTTGCACTACTGTCTCTTATCTCTAAAAACAGCACAAGACATAGACACCACCAGAGGACTGAGCCTTTATGTTTGCTTTTGGGGTTTTGGCTATTTTTTTTTTTTAATATTCTGCCCTGATAGGCTGCAAGCTCTCAAGTCTTGACCAGTACTGTTTTGTTTCCATTTAGAGAATAAGTCTATCACCTCTGCTTTGTGTGGAATTCATTAAACTGTGATTTTTAAATGAGATTCTGTAATCCAGTGCAAATGGAAAAAAAAATTGATTGCTGAATTAAAACAAGTTGGGACATAATTTAATTAGTACCCAAGCAGAAGAGAAACTACTTTAGTGCCTTAATGGAAAAATCAATTTTGCAAGAAAATTTCACATTTTTAAGCCTAATTAGAAAAACATTTACTTCACAGAGAAGCATTTGGAGAATACATATTCAATCAAAAGGCAGAAGTTTTTTAGTTTCCAGTGGTCAGTTACTTGATACTTCTTTGGAATGGGTTAAAGCTATTATTTCTTATGGTGTTGGTATCTTTACACCCAAGGATCTTGAAGCAACTGATGCCGTTCCTATAGTTAGAAGGCAACTCATGCTCTCAGGGAATCTCCACCCAACAAATCAATATTCTGATTGGAAATAGTTATAAAAGGTTAATTGTTCTA